GATTCAAATTTTGACAGTGATTTAAACTAGTAAAAATCATCAAAATTTGCTTCTGAAAATTTAAAAACAAAAACAAAAAAGTTACTGTGCAACTTGGGCCGAAGCTGCTCGCGTCTTCTTTCAAGACCGTCATCATGGCCCAAAGAAATGAAATCGCGCTTACGGTGGTGGCTCGCGCGCATTTCCCCCCGCTCAAAGCCGCAACTGGGCCTGGCCGGATTTCTCTCGCCCGCCTAGGCTGTTTCTGGCCCAAGCGCTCGGAGCCGTTCATCTTGATCGGACGGATGCCCGTCGTTCTCGAGCGGAATAAAACCGCCCCGCCATGGTGCGTCACCAAACCCTAATTCATTTCTTTCCCCATCTTCTCTCTCTTCGCCGCACACGCAGCCGAGGAGAAGAAGAGCAGCGGTAGCGGCGCCACCGCCGGTCCCCTCACCGGTGCGCGCGCTCGCCCTAGGCTGAGTGCACCGCCGTCGAGCGGTCTGGACGACAGTGCCCTAAAAACCCTAGCAACTTCCCATTTCTCCTCAGTGCAACAGACCTAGAGAAGAAGAGTGCGGCGCCGCCGTGGATCCCCTCGCCGGAGCGCGCGCTCCCCAGTGGGTGAGCGCGCCGTCGTCGAGCGATCCCTGTCGGCAAGACTCTCGAGCCCACACACGCCGGGCGACCTAGCGCCGAGCTGCGGCTCGTCTGTTACAGCCCACACGCGACGCGGCAGGACGGCGGGTGGTGGCGGCGAGAAAAACCAGGTTGGTCCTCCCCTTCTCCATCCTTACTTCTTCTAGAGTTAGGGTTAGGGTCTGATCCGTTTCTTGAAATCGAATCCCCTCCTTCTACTATTCTACTCGATTTTCTACCCCGATGAGCTAGATCTCCACCTAGTTAGGCAATTGATACCATTGATAGAAATTACAGGATCCACTAGCGATAGATCTAGCATATATACTGACATTTGAGATAAATAGTAAGCTCTAGAACATGAACTAGTACGGGATTTAGAAATAGAGGGAGAGAGGTTCGGAGATGCAATCCGTCGGGCTTGGAGGAAGAGGAGGAAGCCATGTCGTCGGTGCAAAGTCCCAAATGGCGGTGTCAACAATGGCGTTGAGGCGCTTTATCATAGAGACGATGGTGTAGAGGCGGCGGTGAAGCCGGTGGCGGTACTTCCCGTCGCTGGCAGCGCCTCCTCTCTAGATCGGCTAGGGTTAGGAGTGTAGGTGGGGTGTCTGATGGCGCAGGTGAACCTCGTGCCTTGTGCCCTGGCCCCCACCTCCCTTTTTACGGCGCTGTGCGATAGGGGCCCATCAACCATGGAGCGGTTGGGCGCCCCCAATCAGGGCGCAGATCTAACCGCCCAATTAACCGTTGGTGGAGATCAATCTAACATAGACCTGCTGCCTGGGCCGATGGGACACAACCTGCTTCAATTCCTCACCGAGGTATTGACATGAGAATTGAAGACGGGAGCTTTATCTCAAGTTTCCCTTCCCTCGTAGGATTTTACTATATGTTTTAACTATGATGACGAATAAAACGTACACATTGAACAGTCTTTTTCTTCGATGCATGCATTGCAAGCATACTCAGACCTTGTTTGATACATATGTATCCACATGTTTTGGAGTAGAATAGAATGAAATTTAATTCAATTACACTCTAATCCATTTCAATACACGTGAATTACGATGAATACATGCGCATCAAACAAGACCTCCCTACGGTATATATCACTGCTGTTACCTGTGAACCAGAGGACAAGCATATCAATAGCTAAGCAAAATCCCAATGAATGGAAAGAGAAAAATCTTAGAGTTACCAACCTATTTGGCTTGTCTCTGGATCCGGTTTTGAAACGGACAAATCGGACTAAGAGAGCGGTTAAAATCCTGTTCGGAACACATGACTGAAAAATTAGAGTAAAATACACCGGAGGTCCATTAACTTTCGGTGAAGTGTTATCTAGGTCCATTAATTTTAAAACTATATTTTTTAGTCAATTAACTTTTGTTTTATGTCATATAGGTTCATCAACTTTGAAACTGTAGATCCCAATGAATGGAAAGAGAAAAATCTTAGAGTTGGCAACCTGATTTCCAAGAACCTCTCTGGATCCCGTCCACATTGAAACGGACAAATCGGACTAAGAGAGCGGTTAAAATCCTGTTCGGAACACATGACTGAAAAATTAAATTGATTCGAAATTTCTGCATAAAAAACGCGGCCTAGAATTGCAGAGGCCTCGCTTCGCTTTCGTTTGCGCGCGGAACGGCAGAAGAAGCTACGTCGCAGTGTGCGGTGGCCCAGGCAGGATTCCTCTAGAAATGGAACGGAGGTTGTTTCAAAGGCCGTGTGCCGGTGCGCTGTGAGCCCATGCTGCAGTGGACTCGTGTGGTTTGCAGCTTCGAGGGCCCAAGAGGCCCAGAGCAGAAGCGGTTCTTCTTCTTGGCTGACATGCCATGCCAGTGAACGAGTCCTTCGGGTTCGGGAGGGTGACTCTTCATCGGCCTGCAACTTCAAGCACTTTTCCAGCTTGTCACGTCACCATCTTCGTCTTTCTTTGTTTACGAAGCCTCAAAGAGAGAAACAGAGATCACATGCACATCCTTCCGACGACGATCTTCTGGTTCTGGGTAGTTCGTCTGATGATCTGATCTACAGCCGGCTTTAGCCTTTAGCCAATGGTGTACGTAAGGAACCTGTGATCGTGACATCCGCGCAAAACGCCATGGCACCGAGTGCTCCCTTTAGTCTACATACACGCCACCAGACGATGAAATACAACAGGCTGAGCAAACAGATTTCCGCCAGGATAAGACCTACCTATACATAATGATATCTATCTATATGAACAATAACAATTCACACCGTGGGTCTGGGTCAAGCCGACGCCCGAAAGTCTTAAAACAGACTCCACGTCACCACCGACAACAAATAGAAGAGATAATAAGAGCAGCCACAGCGTTGGTCGAGACTTCCAATTATCGTCACATGTACACGACGTTTGCAATCACTATCTGCTGCAACGTTAGGGCAATAACGTCTTAGGCTGCTTCTAACGTCTTTCTCCACATAAAAGGGTAACAGAAAATAATACTATGTTCAGTACTCTATTGATTCACTGAGAAGGTACAGATGCAAGTGGAATTCTCGACGCAGTGGCTGCAGTGGAAAAGGTGAGAAATTGATGCTTCAAACTCCCTCCGTTTTAAGCCCTTCGTCATCTACGTGAAGGCCGGCGTGTTCACCGTGCCCAAGGACATACCACACAGCCTCGGCGACGGAGCACGGGAGCGGCGTCGGCGTGTGTGGCCAATACCCGCCTGCTTGATGCCATCACACCGGCCATCGAGCGCTTTTTACCATCACACACCGGCCAAGGATACAGGTGTTTTTCTCTACACAACAATTCTATAGGGCATACTACTGTTTTTTTCAAGCCGAATTATAAATTGTTTTAATTTTTTTTGGTATATCTATTTTGCTGATGTACATCTAGATGACACATCTTAATATAATATATCTGACATTCACCGAATACATAAAGCAAAAATTAATGAAAATTTCTGCAAAAAACGCGGCCTAGAATAAAATAACTTATAATTTAAAACGGAGCGAGTATACACCAAAGAAAATCAAGCCGAGCTCCGACGATAACGAATAGCTCGTCTGCCCCATACGGCCATACTAGTACTTGTAAAAAGACCCTGTGAGATTTTGACATCGGCGCAAAACGCCGTGGCAGCATGGCACTGAGAGCTACACACCACGCAAATGCAACAGGCTAAAGCAAACAGATTTCCACCAGAAATGACACCCACGGATAGGATTCTACGCAAACCCACCCAATGGCACAGCCTACCGATTTCGCCCGTAACCTGATCAAACAAGATTAGCCACAAACAGAACAGCCAAACTGCAGCAGATTAACAAGGGATTGCGACATCGAACGACTTTTATACAAAAGCAAGAAGCACAGCACTTTAAGCAACACAAAAAGCAAGAACTATGCCTTGTTTAGTTCCTCCCTGAAATTTACTTTCTATCCGATCAAATGTTTGACACATGCATGAAGTATTAAATATAGATTTAAAAAAATAACTAATTATATAGGTACAGATGCAAGTGGAATTCTTTACGCACTAATTTAAAAGGTGAGAAATTGATGCTTAATCTTTTTTCGGCTTACTTAATTATTCAAATTTTCTTTATAATTTAACAATATATTGTTACACATATGGTAAACTTTTTTGGATATATTTTTTTCTACATTAATAACAATATATTAATTATAGCTTAATAAATTTATCTCGCAGATTAGGAACGAATTCTATAATGACACCGGTAACTTTACGGATTTAAACAAGTCCCTAGTGGAACACAACATCATCACCATCATCATGGTCCGTGACAAATTGTCCCATCACGCATCTATTACAACACCGCTGCCACACCGCTATTCAGTTCTGCAGTTCGAGGGCAATAAGCCCTTAGTTTCAACCTGATCAAACAAGATTTCCACAAACAGAACAGCCAAACTGCAAGATTAACAAGCGATTGCGACATCGAACGACTTTTATACAAAAGCAATATTTTTACACCACAAAAAAGCCAGAACTATGCCTTCTTTAGTTCCTCCCCAAAGTTTATAGACACATGCATTATTAAATATGTACGAAAAAAAATTACATAATTTTGCAATTTAGACAATTTTTAAACCTATAATTTAACAAATTTGCTACAGTACCGGTAGATTAAACATTTTAAACCCACCAGTAACTTTATATTTAAACAAGTATTTGCTAGTGGAACACAACATCATCATCATCATGGTCCGTGACAAAATCCAAATTCCTACGACTAAACACCGCTATTCAGTTCTGCAGTTCGAGGGCAATAAGTACATCCAGAGGTCACCACCACGCACCCCCATCATCATCATCATCAGGGTAAACGACGTACTCCGTACTACCCTGCCTGCCGACACGACGAGCACACACAGACTACTGGGACTCGGCCAGCGGCTCGGCCTCGGGCGACGAGAACACCTTGGCGATGCGCTCGGTGGGGATGGCCGGGAGGTACTTGGCCCCCGTGTAGCCCCGCTCCGCTGCGGCGGCGACCGCCCTGTTGTACTTGTCGGCCCAGTGCGCGGCGGTGGGCACGACGATCTGCGCGACGTGCGGGAACACCGGCAGGCCGTTGAGCGAGCGCCAGGCGGAGACGGCCAGGTGCTCCGCCGCGGGCTCGTACCGCACGTACAGGTCTCTCGCCACGGGCTCCACGCGGCCGTACACGTCCCGGGCCACGGGCTCCGCCCTGGCGAGCGCCGCGCGGGCCGCGCCCTTCACGCCCGACTGCTGCGCCTCCGCCGCAAGCTCGCGCGCCACCTCCGGCACGCCCCGCGCCACCGCGTACGCACGCGCCGACGCAGCCTTGAGCGCGCCAGGGAGGTGCTTGTCCACCTCGTGCACCGTGTCGTCGACCTGTGGTCATTGTTGTTGCGCATCGGTCAGTCAGCAAGAAGCGGAGGCAGAACAGACAACACAACACGGTGATTGCACAAACAGACAGGTGAACATCGATTATTGTAATAATTATTTATCACTAATAAGGAAGCCCAAGATTTAATTAACACTTGATAATTCTAATTTGATTCCTCGAAAGAACCTTGATAATTCTGTTGTCGACAATGGCATCGGGGTCTCCGCCGGGCGCAGCTAACATGCGCCGGAATCTAAGCATGGGCGGAATCTGGCACAGAACAGGCACTAGGCATGGGCGGATTCCCCGCACAAGGATAACGACGACGAAGTCACCACCGCACACGGCCCCTCGAGTGTTGGGGCCGCAGCTCAGCTGAGCCGCACACAGCTCGGGTGGGGCCCGCCATAGCAATCATACACCGCATACGGGAAGGAAAATATGTAATCGGCGACCAGAACCATCCAAATCCAAATGGGCGCAGCTGTGCTGTGCCTAGTGCCGTGCACCGCACGGCGGGAGTGGGTCCGGACGCCGGCGAGGCAGCAGCTGTGCTGTGCCTAGTGCCGTGCACCGCACGGCGGGAGTGGGTCCGGACGCCGGCGAGGTTCGTGAAACCAAAACCCAAGCGTGCGCAGAACCACGCGCACCGTGATCGTGCTTGCCGGCGACCCGGGCCAGCGAAGGAGCAGGGGGGCGGGGGATGGGGATTGGTGACAGGGCACGCGACGCGACTCACCTTGCGGTCGACAAAGGCGAGGACGTCGAGGGGCAGGCCGCCGAAGCGAGGCGTAGACGGGGCCGACGACGCCCTTGACGGTGGACTCGACGGCGTCGACGCCGGGGCGGAGCGGGCCGGCGTGGTCCTTGGCGAGGCCGTAGAGCCCCGCGAGGTACACCGCGGCCTGCGCCGCCGCCACCTGGACGAAGTCCAGGTACCTCAGCTTCGGGGCCCTCCTCGGCTGCTGCTCCACAACAACCTCCCTCTCCTCCTGTGGACGGCGCACCAACAGATCAGACCAAAACCAAAAAAAACCAAATCAATCAACCTCCGAATTCAGGTCCGGATCGAGGCGAGGAGCGTAGGGAGGGGTCACGCTTACCGCTTGCTGCGGCTGGGGGCTGGGGTTGGGCTGCTCCTCCGCCATCGCGCGAACTGGACGGGGGGTTGGTTGGCTTCTCTGGAACCTGGTCGGGTAACCGGGCTGCGGGGAGGGGAGAAGAGAACTGAACAGGCGAGACGAGACGATTCGGCTGCTTTTGCTTCGCTGGAAGAACGACGAGACAGAAGGGCCGAAAGGGCGGGCTATATAGGAGACGGGCGTCGTCGTCGAGCCGTCCGATGCGTCGCACGCTCGATCGGGGCCGTCGAGGCTGCGCCAGAACACTCTGGAGCGGGTCCGCCACGTCGGGGCTCCCGTGATGGGCACGTCGCTAACGCCGTAACCACCCTGTATCATTACTCGCGGAATCGCTCACAGATAGATCTGTGTGCTAGTGGTTCAAGTTGGAGGGCACGGCCGCTGGTGGGCCCGGCTGGATGACGTGAGCCGATTATTATACTATATGTCACACCAAGTTCTAGAAATTTTTCCGGATGGGGATGCAGCATAATTTGACGAAGGTACAGTACAGACGACACGCTTATCTTGAGAGATTTCTCTATTTTGAACCTTCTTTGGCCCTGCAATTTTGCTTTGGGTTTAAGGAGCAGAAGCTTTGACCCTGCAATTTGGCTTCGGGGTTAAGGAACAGAAGATTTGGCGACATGTAGCCTGTTCGTTTGGTGATAAACGACCGTGGATTATAAGCTAGAATAGTATTTTTCTCTCATACCAAACCAGCCAACAGTAATAAACCATGATCGTTTTAGCCAAAACGAACAGACTGATGTTCGATTGACAGACTTTTTTAATAGGACCATCGACAGATTGTACTTTTTTTTGACAACATTGACAGATTATACGTGAAAGCTGCTGGCAACAACGACAAGATCAACATCAAAACATAAGGACTCTCTGGCTCTCTAAAGGAGCTAAAGCCGCTCAAAACGCACTGCGGCGTAAACCCATAATGAGAGCAGCGCGAAGCTCGTTTTTTAGGCTTTTTCTATGCAGACAAAAAATAGCTCCGGCTCTTGACTAGCTCCCCATGCGGAACCCTTTTCAAAACAGACGTTTAGCACAGGTCCTGCAGAAGCCAAAGTCCCTGCAAAAGCCCTGCCAAAAAGACTCTAAATAACCCACGATCGTTTACGCCCTACCGAACATGCTAACGGTCAACCTGCTGCTGCGGCGCCATAATGAAGACTACTTTTTTTGAAACGAACATAATGAAGACTACTCCCAAACTTTACTGACGAATGCTACGCAGAGAAACCACCCCCAAAGTTGGTGGAAGCACGCAGGCTGGGACGGGGCTATTCCGTTGGCGTCGTTTGATGCACTCCGCGACCGCGATCTACAGACCGTCCTGCGCGGACTCACGTGTGTCGGATTCCTGCTGCTTTCCAACTTCCAAAGCCGGCGGATTCAGATCGGATCCAGGCTTCAGCGAGCTCGGGCTCGGCGACACAAGAGTGGTCTCGAATTAGATTAGAGCCCCCATCAGAAATATCTTCATCACAACTTGCAAGCACTAAGCACTACCACTACTGGATCTCAAATTATGCCAGAAGCTATGGACCAGGCCACGATGATTCCACATGCCTGGCATACCAACGTAGGGACCAGACCAAACTGCGAATGAAGCCAACTGAATCAAACACTTAAGATTTGGTGCATGCAGATACGCCACGACAAGACGCACGAGCGGTATGAAGCCAAATTGAATTAAACATGCTTAACATGAAAATAAATTAATTTCTAACAAGAATATATCAAACAACATACACCCGTCCTTGTTAGATGCCTTCGCTCTTCACTTTAACTGAAACCAAATACACTATATAATTGCCTTTTTCGACTCCCTCCTAAGTAACGGAGCAGGCGCGACCGCAGTTAGCTGCAGCTGCATAACTCAGGAATGGTCTCGTACACCTCGGACGTGATGTTAGCATTTGGCAGCTAACGCCTGACAACATAGGCTACGGAGCACTCTGAACTGTTGGTACTTGTACAGACCTGAACTCGTTGCTGGAATCAGAGCATACAACTCAGGTTCTTCAGGCTGTCTAGTTGAGGCCGCAATCTTGGTCTACTTGGTCTATCGTGATGCCTGGGCTGAGCCCTTCCTGCATCTGCTGCTCTGATCCCTGTTTGCAAATATAAATGTTACAATAACATACGTGAATGCGGCAAAATAATGCTGGTCTAAAGCTGAAATTTCGATTATAACTAGGTATGCAAGTTTATTTTTCTCTGCGCAAAGAACCAGACATAATTCTCAAGCAAAATATCCACCCCAATTCCAATAACATACCATACCCCTCGCCCAACAAAACACAAACAAAAATTGGGACGTGGAACCCTAATCATGACCTTATGTCAATGGCTAACCACCAGAAAAAAAAACTTTTGTCTATTGTGATGATCGTGGAGCGGGCAGGAGCCAGTGTTGCTATACTGTAGTACTGCAACATGTCCAGTATGATAAGAACATCACAGCACTACTATCAAAACTTTTTAGCACAGTACTGTTGGCCTGCTGTGCATGCACATGGGATGTACTGCACAGCAGGACAACAGCCGAACTGCTTCAGAGTTACTTACGTAGGTATGATGAACCATGTTCTGGAAGGTCAGAGACAGAATTCAGAAATAATAACTCTGCTCAATGCGAAGGTACATCATACCTGGGGCTGCAAAGATGGCAATTGCTGCTGCTGCTGATCTTGTGGCACCATGTAGGATTGCGGCTGAGACAACCTGTAGTATGGCTCCTTGAGTTCAAGTTTTCCAGTAGACGTCTGTAGGATACCGCCTTGCTCCGCACCCACACCCCACATTTTAGCTTCAAGTAAGAATCAAATAAGCATAAGAACTATAACCTTCAAATATACAAGACTGGAGAAATGGAAAAATAGGGAGAGAGCCTAACCTGACATTGTCAAGTATATTGTGTAGCTTTGAGAACTATGGGCTACGAGATGAAGACGGCCAGTTATTTCTTGACCAGCCATGACATACAATGGCTGTGAAAGAACACATCGCAGTTGGTACCAGTGAGTGGTAGGGGATCCTGGAGCAGTGGTAAGCCACCTTTGCACAGTGCTGCAGTACAGCATAGCAGATTTAGAATAGCGGAAGACAAATCCAAAGGAGTGCTACGACTCTGTAAATATTACTAGTCAACAGAATTTCCAGTTACTTACCTCCCATTAAACAATACATCAAACCAACAAGCTAATCCATGTACTCTAGTGCCAACAGATGCAACAAAACTCAGAGGAATATCAATCTCGTAAAGATCCTCTTCCTGGAAAAGAAAAATAAGCATGCCATATTTCCACCAAACCAAGAAATCTTTCAGAAAATTCACATGGAATTTAGATCTCATGCCATGCTTACCTTCATGCTAGTAAAATCAAGTGTATGATATATTGGCTGAGAAATTAATAATCTTGGGTCAAATGCATCCACAACAGGCTGCATGAGAATATAATAGGCATTTAGATTTGTCAAGGAAAAAGAAAGAGTCACTCAAATTAATAAGACTCTTTACCACAGAACCAGGCAACAGTAATAATAACAGAAGAAAAATCTTAAGAATTGTTCACTACAGCCATAAAAGTTCTGGGACAAATCATGTCACGTCTGTAATTGAATACAATTAGTGATTTAGTAGTCAATATGCATATCTACCACAATCCAAGCCCACTGTTCCAATTTGCAAGCACAGAGAAAGGAAGAAGAAATTACTAGTTTCTCATCACAGCAAAAGCAAGAACACATAACCTACAGAATGGAACTGCAGTGTAACCTGTGAAAAGTATCCCTGGAATGCTGAACCATGTAAAGGTGTAAGATCAACACCAAAAAAATTGTGCTGCTGCCAAAAGAGAGCCTGCAAGAGCACATAACCTAGATATTAGCAACACTACATGAGAAAGACCTGATACTAAAATATAGACACACATGAAGAGATCATGAGTTCATAAAAATAATGTATAATCAAATAAGACAGATCTTTTCACAACAAGATGGCAACATAAATAACAAAATCAATTATGAATAAGCAAAAGTGCTGCCAAAGTGAAGTTGCCACATTAAAATTTAAATATCCAACAAAGGTATCAAACATAGCAGTTGGTGGTGTGGTATCTTCCTATCCTACTTTGAAACCTAGGGGAATTACTATAGGCATATTTTAATATTTGATGGATGGCTCATGGGATACTAAATATTGAAGAAGACTTTTTTTCATAATTTAATTACCAAAACAAAAGATGAACAAAAAAGCTACCGCAATTAGATAGGATCAGAATCCCATGATTAGCCATTAGTCTAGTAGCCCACAGGTGTACCATAATATTTGCTTTAGATAAGTTACAATGTCCAGTGATGCAGCACTGGACTTCAATCCTCAGTTTATGCAATACTGCTACTTGAAAAGCATTGTTCCTATTAAGTTGAGCCCTCAGCCCTACGCAGTTCTCATGGATACAAAAGATTGAGCAGACATCAATAAGAATGGGTGCTATTCCCTCATATATTGAGGATGAAAAAAAGGCATTTTCATATTGGAATTTACAGTAACATTAATAAAGCATCACAAAAAGGCATTAGACAGCAATAATGTAAGGAAAACCAGATTTAGTACCTTGTTTGCCATTTCAACATAAAGGTATTCATCAGAAAATGGAGCCATGTGAATCCTAAAAAGACATGAAGTATTGATGAGTAATTTGAAATACCAAAGTCTGCACAGAAGAACTGATGACTATGCATGCCTCTGAGCTCATTATTTTAAACAAATATTGTTGGACTGCTTGTAAGAACATTAAACTCATATGCTGTAAAAAGAAAAACACCTCCACGTACTAAAAGAGACCTATATGATCTTCTAATTATATTCAAATCCACCCTAAAGACTCTCAGTATCAATAGCAAAAACAACATGGCCACCACAGGCTTGACTACAAGGTCCAAACAGTATCTCAAACCTTAGGAAGTAAGGCAACCGCAAGGGTGTTACATTAAATACATGT